GTCCTCACTGGATGTAGGGATATGTTAAGATGATGCTCTTACTGTGATTTATGCTTTACCGCTTTCTTCCCTACGGCCCCACCTTGCACCTTGCACCTTTGTGCTTATGTCCCAGCCAAGAGATGGACAACCACACAAGGAGGAAATGAACAGCCATGCCTGGCTTCTGAACTTCAGCTGCCTATTTAGAAAACAGACAGGATTCCCACCTGGATGAGAAAGATGCAGAGAAAGTGTCTTGGGCAAGCCAAGGGTTCACCTTGTCATTATATCACACCACCCATGGACAGGAGCCAGGAGGAAAGTGACAGCAGCACTGTCCCCAGGCACCTGGGAGTGGAGAGACAGCAGACCCCAAGTAGGTTGTGGAGATCTGAAGGAGAAGGACCCCAGTCCTGTGTCAGGCTCAGGAAGGAGACAAAGCCCCAGAAAGAGGAAACACTGCAGAGAGCAGCTTATTTTGGAGGCAGTTTACACCATGGACAGCGCCCCACTTCCTCCAGCCACCCAAGGCCATAATAGCAACCTTTGATCCTTTTTATCCAGGAGTGATGGGAGGGGAAATAGAGAGACATTAGACCTTACAAGGCCACACAAGCAGGAACTGACCAGTAGATTCCTCAATGGACACTGAGTGGCCATTTAGTAACAGGAACCTCTTCTTCCACTTATGCTGTGGCAAAATATAAATATGAGCCTCTGCCCAGAATTTAAGTGATCCCTGCAAAGAGGATAGTCCAACAACTGACAAAATTTAAGTGTCCATCATTCTAGTAGAATAGGAGCTGGATCAAAATAGAAATGTGGTGATATTATGCATAGCCAGCATATGCTTTTTGCATATCCCAAGTTAGATAATATCTCTGTAAGAATTAGGAGAATGAGAGAAACTAGAAACCACCATATTTTTGGCTAGGGAACTGGATAGATAGTGGTAACATTCGTGGATGTTGGGGATAAAAGAAGGGTGAGATTAGGTGAGAAATTATGAGTTTAAGGTTTGGAAGTTCTGAAATTGGGGTGCTGATGGAGCCTCGGGAGGCAGTTGAATAGTTATGACTGGTATCAGGAATGAGGTCTGCCTGAAAATAGAGATTTGGCATGATCAACACATACAAGTTGAAGTTTATAGGTGGGGAGTGAATCAGGATGGTGACCTTAGATACTCACTATGTGCTAGGGCCTTCACACTGAACTATATCCCAGCCCTTTTTGTTTGAGACAGAGTCTAAGTCACTAAACTGTCAAGCTGGCTTCAACCTTACAATCCCCCTGCTTCAGCCTCCCAGTGTGCTGAGATGGCAAGAATGCACCACGCCTCCCCTTGTCTGTTGAAAGCTTGTTATGCACATTAACTCACTGAATTCTCACATCAATCCTATAAAGCAGGAATACTATGATCCGTATCTTTAAAAATAGAAACAGACACAAATGTTTCCAGTCTCACCGCTAGAAACCAGAGTAATCACAAGTTATGTCAGAGCATCTCTGATCTATAACAACCATAGTGTGATAAGCTGCCCTAGACATAAAGATGGTAAAGGAACAGTACTTCCAAACCTGGGAAGAATGTGGAGCCTGTTACACATCAAAGGGAAAGTCAGTAGAACAATGAAAGGGGTTTGATTTGGTTTGACTTGATTTGTAGTACTGAGGATTGAATCCAGGGGCAAGCTCCCTACCACGGAGCTACATCTCCAACCCTTTTTATTTTTTATTTTGACACAACATGTTACTAAGTTGCCTTGTCTAGTCTTGAACTTGTGATTCTCTTGACTCCACTTTAAGAATAGCTGGGATTACAGGAGTGGGTCACCATGTCTTGTTAAGAAAATGGAAGTTTCAAAAGCTCTGAACGTTCACAGGCCTTTGCAGAAGAGATAAGAAAGAATGGTGACCAGAGACACCCTGGGGCCGTGAATCCTAACCTCCAATGGGCTCTGATGCTGCCCAGTGACCACACTGCATTTCCAGAGTCTATCTACTCTGGCACTCCAGCTTCGTGGTACTAAGGAACCCCAGAAGCAGCTGTAGAAGTGGCAGAAAACTTGCCCACCTTTGACCTCCTGAATCTGGAAGCCGGGAGCTAACACTCAAGTTAGAGAGCTGCTGCTCTACATATTTGTTTTTATAACTCCTCCTTCCTCTGCAAATGTACAACCCTTCCTTCTTTATCCTTACTCTCAGCTGACCTCACTTCCTAATTCACTGAGAGAGGAGAGGTGCCCAAAGAGAAGGTCCACCAGTTTCTACCATCCTCTCCGTACCTCTCCACAAATACTACGTCTTCCTTTTTCCATTTGGATTGACCACATGCATTCCTAACCAACACCAGTCGCTGTTTCAGTAATCAATCCCCTGCCCTCCCACCAATCACTGCTCTGGACACTCAACTCCAACATCTACTGCCTCTTTCCCTCTGTATACAAATATCCATAACTTATAGGGTTCTTTTTCCACTTAATTTTTCCCCCTGAACTCATTTCATTTAGTTCCTGCCCAATATCTCTCCTTTCTTTAAGCAAAACTCCTAAGAGTTATCTCAACTGTTTCTATCTCTTTCTTCCCATTCTTTGTTGAACTCTCCAGCAATTAGATTTTCACCCCAGCCACTCTACCAAAACTGTTTTATCAAGGTCGCCAACAACCTTCTAAATCTATTCTCAAATTCATCTCCCTTGACCTATAGGCATCATGTGACACATTCAATCTTTCCCTCCTCCTCTTAGTATCCAGTATCCTACCATTTCCTGGGATTCTCTTCCCCCACTACACTGGCCATTCGTCATCTCTCTGATGGTTCTAAGTTATATCTGAAAGTCCAGGACTCAGTCCTTGCCCATTTTTCTATCTACACTTGCACTGTCAGTAATCTCTTCTAATCCTATGAGTTTTTTTTTCCAGTACCAGGGATCAAACTCAGGACCTTGCACTTGCCAGGCAGGCATGGTGTCACTGAGCTACATCTCCAGCCCTATAGTTTTAAATAACATCTAAGGATCCAAGCATGTTGGTGCACACCTGTAATCCTAGCACTAGGAAGTTGAAAGCAGGAGGATCAGCATGAGTTCAAGGCCAGCTTGAACTACATAGCAAGACCCTGTCTCAAAAATACATAAATAAACAAATAACATCTATATGCTGATGATTCTCAGTTTTCTATCTCCATCCCAGACCACACCAGATGTGCATGTCCAACTGCCTTCTTGACATCTCCATTAGGACACCTAAAGACATCTCAAATTTATGATGTAGCAAACCAGATCTACCTTTTCCTCCCCATCAAAACCTGCTCTTTCCACAACATTCCTCTTCTCAGTTAATTAACATTCAGGAGAAGTATGTCCCCATTTCCTTCACACTACCTAACCCATCAAAAATTATATTGATTCTACATGCAAAACACATCCAGAATCCGACAATTCGTGATTGCCTCTCCTGCTACCACAATAACCCTATGCCACCATCATTTCTTACCAGGTGACTACAGTGACCTTCTAAATGCCCTCCTGCTTCTGTGCTGGCTCCCTTCTGGACTGTTCTTTATATAGTAGCTAAAGGGACTCTGTTGAAACAAATACCAGTTCCACCTCCCTCCCCTACTCAAAATCTTCCAGTGGTTCCCACCTCAGGGTAGAAGACAAGATCATCAGAATAACCTTGGGGCCCTATGAGGTGTGTCTTTCTCCTCTTTGACTTCATCTCTGACTCTCCTCTTCCTCTTTCTAGCCACATTATCTCTATTCTTTCTCAAAAGCAGCAAGTAGAACCCACTTCAGCACCTTTGCCTTTATTACCCCCTCTGCCTAAAACATTCTTTCCCTAGATATGTAAAGGGCTCACTCCTCCCCTCCTTCAGATTACTCAAACGTCACCTTCTCACTGAGGTATCTCTGTCCCCCTCTACACTCTGCATCCCCCTCCCTGCTTGATTGGCCTCCAGAGTTTCACAGCCATCTAACACACTATAGCTTTTACCTTTTGGTTATCACCCTTCTGCTTCTTCTGGAAAGTAAGATCCTTGTGGGGAGGGATTGTGCCTGTTTCATTCACTGCTATCCCCAATTCCTACAAGAATACCTAGCATGGAGGAAAAGATGCAAGGAAGTGTAAAGCTTGAAATCTAGCAAGACCTGGTCTTGAACAGAAAGAGGGATACCTCTTTCACTACTCCAGGAACAGAGACAAGGATGAGTCCAGATACCTGTGCAGTTAGAAATATAAGCAAAATTATTTCCTCCAGGATGCTTCTAATCTCTCTGAGCAACACAAGGGAAGGAGGTACCTGGAGTGGTGGGGCTGGGGATGTCGTTCAGTGGTAAAGCACTTGCCTAGCATGCCTTGAAAGTCCAAAGAGAATTCCTTGCATTGACTCAGTGTCCCCGTTTATGCACCCACGCAGTCATCACTATCCAGGGGTCCGTGGGGGAAAAAACTGAGCAGAGCATAGATGAAGAACTGGACCTACCCCCATTCCAGTGGAAAGGAGCGGGAACAGAAACATTAAGGCTTCCCTAAAATCCGATTATTTTGTAAAAGACTTTCTGGTGTACAAGACACAATTGTGTCCAACTGTATATAAGCTACCAATTAGTTTTCTTTGTTTTTACTTTATCTTTTGCTATGTTATGACTTAGTGTGGATTTGTGTTTCTATATAAATTTTATGTGTATGATTTCATGTTAAGCCCCAAATAAATGCTTATGTGTAAAAAAAAAATCTGAAAGTCGATACGGTCCAGGGCTCAAGCTCAGAGCCATCTCCAGCGACCCTACTCTATTCCAATACCTTCCAGCTGCCCGGTCGTGTCACATTCCAGTCCACTTTTTTCTGTGCTCCACCCGCTCCAAACTGGCATACTTTTTCCTCCACGTGGTTCTCTGTGTACATCGGTTGCCCAGGAGACCCTAGCTGGGCGGGGCGCTAGTGACATCACAATAGCAACAAGCCAATAGCCGTGACGTATGTCGGTGACGCAGGCGCGGGGTGTGGCTTCGTCGGCCTAGGAGCTCTGAGGCTGCTGCCCGCTGGGTGGCGCCGGTTTCCCCGGGAGGTCCTCTCTGGGCCCCCGGAGGAGGTAGGGGAGAGGAGCTGAGGCCAGGGAGCCCTCTGCGTCAGCTGCCGCTCTCTGAGCCGCCCCAGTACCAGCCAGGATTCACCCGCAGCTCCATGCTTGTGCCCGGTTCGACTCGTCCATCCTCCGAGAAGCGGAAGGTATGTGCCACCTGTCGGAGATCGGGGAGGGGGGGTGTGGGGGTCAGTGTCAGTCTTAGGGTCAGAAAGTGAGGTGTAAAAGACAGCCTCGGCAGAATGGCCACTAGAAATGTAGGGCGAGGGCCAGCTGTGCGGGGGAGCTCCAGCTGTGTTTGTGTGAGGGGGCCTGCCAGCTGACAGCCCAGGGTGCCAGGAAGAGCCATCTGTGTGTGCCGATCAGTGTGTTCTAAGGGAACGCTGCTTCAGTGGGTCCAGGTCGCTGTGCCTTCTGTGGGACGTGGCTGAGAGTGACTCCTGGACACTGACAACCCCACATGTGCATGCAGCTCACTCTCTGCTCTCAAAGCTCTCCGGTGCTGTCTCTGGTCAGCTTGCCAAAGCCAGGAAAGGGTTAGGGGGAGGACATCAGTTAAGCGGAAGGGGAGATTTTCCACCAATCCCAAACCAGAAAGAGGCAACTTTGAAATTCTCACCGATCCCAAATTAGAAGCAGGCAAGTGGTGCTCCAGCCAAGCAACTTAATAGCCAAGGGAAGCCCTGGCCAACTTATTCCAACTCTTCTGTAGGAGTGAATGTCTGTGCTCCTGACTGGATGCTTAAAGAGGGATGGCTGAATTGGAGATGGTAGTAGGGGCTGCTTTTCCCAAGCATGAGCACGAGAGCATTGCCAACCCATCAAGAAGGCCTGGAGGAGGTAGAGCTGGTGGATGGGCTAGAGCTGGGGCATTTCACTCTTTTGATGCTGTGTGTAGATGATTGTCAGACAGGAATGAGGGCTGGAATGAGGGCGTCCTCTGCGGTGCCTCATCAAGACCTAAGCTGAGTCAGTGGCCAGTGCTGAGACAGGGAGGAGGCCCCAGCCTGGGTCCTCCCAGTCCCCAGGGAGAGCCATCAAGAAACAGGAGAACCATCTTGGGAACGGACAGGTGCACCAAAGCCAGAAAGACCAAATACCCTACTCCTTCCTCTCGTGACCCTGCCCAGCGCAGCTCTGCGGCCACAGAATCCTGAGCCCTTGAACAGGTAGAGGGGAGCCTGGTGGTTTGGGGGAAGCTGCATTTGCCATCTTTGTCTAGACAAAGGGGGAAGGAACCCAAATGGGCTTGGCCTGTCTCACTTTGGTGGATTAAACACCATGCTTGCCCTTCCCATTTTGGGCACACAGAGCAATTAGCAATTTGGAAAATCATAAGACCGTTCTCATGGGACACAGCATTCCCCAAATGTTTCCCTGAGATCCCTTTCTTCTAGGGAGGTCATTTGCTACTATTAATACTACCGCTAGGTAAAATAGATAGAAGTATTCAATAGGATCATCATCACTGAATTTTTACTGTGTCTCAAGAAATTTACAAATATTTTATTTCATCCTCACAACTGTAAGGTATACCATTAGCATCATCATCATCATCATCATCATCATTATTGTTGTTGTTTCTATTGATCCTGTTTTATAGACTAAATAACTAAGGTTTACAAAATTTGAGTAACTCGCTTACTGACTCAAATCCAATAACAGAACTAGAATTCAGGCATAGATCTAGAAGCTGAAGCCAGGTAAGGTGGTGCATACCTGTAATACCCACAGGGTAATTAATCCAAGCACTGGGAAGGCACAGGCAGGAGGATCTAGAGTTCAAGACCAGCCTGGCATACATAGTAAGTCCCTAGCAAGCCCAGTGTCAAACAAACAAACAAAGAAAAAGTGTAGTGGACTGAAACCAATGTTGGTTTCACATGCCTCTCGCTGTCTATGCACCCTTGAAGTAGATCTACTCTTTTTCAAAAACCCAGGCGTGGAACTAGCAGTAAGGGTACTTCCTGTGCTCTAATTCTTTGACTGACAGCTCTGGAGAATCTACCTTCTCCATATTTTTGTCTCAAGTTCCACTTCATCCCTCTACCTTCTTTTCAGTCTTTGGTTTGCTTTTGAATTCCCCCACTGTTCTACTTCAAAATGCCCCCTCCCAAGAGTCTTGAAAGATCTCTGTAGCTGGCCCTGGCCCATCCAGGCAGCCAGCAGAGGGTGGGCATGCCACTGCCCCTTTAATTCTCCCGGGGCTTGGAATGCCAGCGAGCTGCTGTCTCTGCGAGGTCAGATAAGATACTATATATATCTGAGCGGTAACCTGAGCTCTGGATTACCCAGCCCCAAGTCAGACTCGGCTTCTGGGCTCTCCACTGCCTTCCCTGCCCTGCTGGGGAAGAAGCCCCCAGTTCCCTCCCAGGGCCTCTGGACACAGGTCAGTAGCTGCTCCTTTGGTATCTGGGCTTCACAGGGTGGCTGTCTAGAAGACAGGCATGAGTGAATTTGGGAGAGCAAGGGAAAGACTACCCACTGGGCCCGGTGGGTGCCATGGGCAAGACCAAAGAAAGACAGCACTAGAAGTGAAAATGGAAGACAGGTGAAGCCCTAGCAGAAGGTGAGGGAGACAGGACTCCCCTACCCTACCCCAGGGAGAGCACTAGGACAGGGTCTGGGCAGGGGTGGGTGGGAAAGAGAATTGAAGGACGCCAATACAGCCTGGAGGCCCATTTCTTTGTTTCGTTTTGGGCCTGGAAAGATGTCCTCTTCTCTCAACCCCAAATCAAGAAGCATCTTACAGAGATGCTGACCTGAGCCCATCTAGTCCTTCTCCACCCTCAGCATGCTTACCTTAATGTCCAATCTCTATCTTACCTCCCCCAACCCACTCCTCAGGCTTTGGACACCTACCAGGAGTTAGAGAGACAGGGATAGACTCAAATTCCTTGACTGACCCCTGACAAGGCAGGCAAGAGGATTGGGCACTAGGCTGCTGTTGGGTCCCTGGGTGCTAATCCCTGAGAAAGCTGCTAGCAACAGGTGGGAGGAGGGGCAGGGAGAGGTTCCTGGTGCCCGACAGGAATAGATAGTGTTGGGCCCTTCCCCATCCTCTACCTGTATTCTCCACACCTGCCAGGGCAGGTGCCCAGACAGTGTATCCAGGGACCTAAGCAGCTAAGGAGTAAGGGTCAGAGAGTGTGGGTGGAGGGAGATGGGGCCCCTCACTCACCCTCTTACCCTTCAGCGTCAGCACATTCCAGTGCACTTAGCCAGGAGCTTTGGGAAACTTGGAGGTCATCCCAGTGGAGGTTCCCAAGTACCTGGCAAGACTGGGCGGGTCTCCCCATTCACCTTCCCTGAGCACCTGGATAGGAGGAAAGAGACCTAACTCAGTTCAGAGTTCTCTGTCTAGGCAGCGGCAAGGCCACACAGAAGGCAGCATGCCTTCACTCCGGGAGACAGCAGATCTGGGCAGAGAGGAGCCATGAAGGGTGCTGGGATGTAGGCTATCACCCACCCTCTGCCCCAGGGCCAGGAGTGCCTGGGATTCTTGGTGAGCAAGTCCCTCCCCTGGCTGGGCAGGTTAGAGAGCCCTTCACGTGAGCTACAGGAAATGACAGTGGCTGACTGGATGACGCAAGAGGTTTGGTTGCCCCAGGAGAAAATGGTTCATTTTAATCCCTGACTCACCTAGTGTGGCACCTTGGGGTGGGGGGTGAGCTATGCTGTAGCCAGGGTAGTAGGCTTGGGGACATGCTCATAACCAGGCCTGGGGCCAGTGACCCTGAACTAGGGTAGATGCTGGTGACAGGGGACCCATAGGAGCTTGGCATCACAGGTGAAATGGAGGCCTCCTGGACCATCTCATGGCTGATCAGTATTGTTCTGGGGCTCAGGTTGCACCTGGCTTCACTTACATTGCCCTGCAGTAGAAAATCCAGAGGGCTGCTTCTTCAGGAGTCTGTCCACTACCCCCATACTGTTCTGGATAGTGGATGCTTGGATTCTGTAGCAATCCTCTCTCTGCACCACCCTACAGTTCCGCAGCCCTGCCCCAGGCCCGGGAGAGTCCAGGGACGTATGAAGCAGGGGCTTGGCTGCCAGGGGGCTGTAGCAGACAGAGCACAGGTCTCAAGCCAGCTCTGCCCCTGCTCCCAGCATGACTTTAGGAGACCCACATTACTTCTCTCTAGGGGACCCTAGTTTCCTTATCTGAAAATGGGCATCATAATAGCACCTGCTGCTAAAGAGTCCTTGGAAAGATTAAGTGAGTTAGTATATATGTCCCAAGTCTTAGCGAAGTTTTAAGTGTTAATACCTTCAGTAATACAAATATTCAAAATTTTGAAAGTTTCACTAGTAGAAGCTCAGAAGCAGAGCATTTGCCTAGCATGTGGACACACTGGGTTCAGTCCCCAGCTCTGCCCAACCCTCAAAAAAATTGCGAAGTTTCTTGTATATTTGTTTTTTGAATTTTGGATACATTTTTTAATTTTAACTTTAAAATTAACACTAATTTAATTTTTAAAAAATAATTTTCTGTGGTGTTTGTAAGTTTGAGGCATTTTTATATCCAAAGGAGTTCAAACTCACACCTGCACTGAAACTTCCGGGCTGCTATCCGTAGGAGCGTGTGTAGAAGAATGCTGGATACATAGTGAGGGTGTGTGAGTGTTGGTGTAAGGCTGCCTAAAAGATGAAATCAGAGGCTGCCTGCGAAGTCCTGAGCGTGCTTGGTGCCTGATCCATAGGTGTGCAGCCCCAGCCAGTCTGGAGACAGCTGCTTGGCTCAGGTGCCCTGACAAGAAGTTGAATGGCTCTGTGCAGAAGAATGCTGGCAGGCTCCCAAGAAGGGGAAACTGAGCAAAGCAAAGCAATAGGGAATCTCAGAGAAGAGAAGTATTGGGCAGCTCTGTAAAGACAGCATGGAGGAGGAGCGTGGGCAGGGGACTGGCCCTGTGGTCCAAGGTGGTAGGCACCTGAGGAGGCGCTGCCTGGAGCCGCATGCCTGTACTTGCCAGCTCTGGGTAAACAGTGAAAGGAACCGGGCAGCAGGGGCCCCACACTGGGCAGGGAGGGGTACAGAGGATCCCAGCCAATCGTCTGGCCTCCCACTGCCCCATGAAAGAACCATTCAGTCCAGGCCGTTCCTGTGGCAACAGAGAGCCTCGCAGCCACAGCCTAGGCCCCGGCCCTAGCTCCTGCCTACGGTGCACTTTGCAGCCTCTAAGGACAACAGTGCCAGGTAATGCCAAGGGGTGCCAACCCAAGCTGACTTGTCACTTGGGAGTTGGTGGGACTTTTCTCAGGAGTTTGACTAGAGTTTGGTGGAGGGGAGAGATACGCGAAAGGCCTCGGCCCCAGCAGAGCTCTCTCCCCAAACATGGGAGTGTAAGCCAGGTGTCAGAGCTAAATGGCAGCTTCCAGGGGGTGTTAGTGATAGCTTGACTGCCAGGGTGCTGGGGAGAAGAGGGAGGTCTGGCAGTTCCCTGCCAGATTGGATCAGACAGATTTGGGAGATCTCCTGGGATTCTGTGAGCCAGAAGGTATGACTCCACCTCCAGCCTCCAATACTTTCAGGGCTTTCTGTCCCTGTCTGTTGTACCTTGTTTGGCCCCAGCACTTCTGCGTCATCAGCAAAGTTAGGGGAGGTCATGGGCTTGGGGCACTGCCCACAGAATACCAATTCCCTGGGAGACTCATGGGGGGTGGGGAGGGAGAACCATGGGGAGGAGCCATGAGCTCATACTCTGGGGGTGGGGGTGCACCTGATTGGCTGCCTGGTGCCCCAGAGCCCAGCTCCTGAGACCTGGAGTCTCTTTGACTTTGCATTATTGATGGCTTTCTCCAAAGTGAAATAGAGCAGGACTAGTCCCCTGCCCCCACCTCTGAGCCCTGGTCTGCCTCTCCCGCGTGGCTTCTCTGCTGAGATCAGCCCCCTTTTCCTAGAGAGGAGTGAAAGTGTCCTGGAGGCAGAAGCAAAGGGCACAAGTGAGTGTATAAGAAGGGTGGAGGGCCCCTGGGCCAGCAAGAAAAGGGCAGACAGTAAGCGGGACAGGGTTTCCAGCCTGAATTTTGCTGGAGCTCTCTAGCAGAGTCCAGGAGTGCTGTTCTGGGGCCCACATGGAAGTTGCCACTTGCTCATTTCCAGTCCTGCACCCATTCTGAACCTTGCCTGGATTGGGTTTCTGGAACTTTTTGCCAAACCCTCAGCCTTTGGGTTTTGGCACCAGCTCTTCTCGGCCCTGTTGGGCTGGGCTGCTGCTGACCTAAGGCAGGTTGTGGTCTGCCTAAACCAGTGTCTGCTGAAGGGTTTGGTGTATGCTCACTTATCTCACTGGGAGCTACGGAGTGAAGCCTGGCATCCAGGCTGAGGTTGGACCGGCCAGGCCTGGCATTATTATAGACTACCAAAGGAGGAGCCAGCCTGCCTGGCAGGAGCTGTGGGAGGAGATAATAACCAGTCATTGTTAAGCGCTTTCACGTGTTATTATCTCATTTATTCCTCACAACAACCCTGTGAGATAGGAGTCATGATGATAATTATTATACTCATTTACAGGTGGGGAAATTGGAACTAAAGGAGATTAAATGACTAGTGCAAAATTAACCATGTAGTCTGTCGAAGGGAGTCAAAACCAGCCCCTACACACACTTCTCAAACTCCTGGAAAGGCCTCCCTCTCCTTACCCAAGGGCCCCCTACTACAAGCTCCTGAGGGCCCTCAAGGAAAGAGGCTTCACCCTTCTTGCTCCTCTCCCCTAAAACACCTCTGCCACTCCAGCTCCACTAGAGATAAAGATTGCAGATGGAGGGACTCTGGGGGTCCCCCCAACTGCAATGGGGATAGCAATTCAAGGCTATGCGGAAAGAGGGCTGGTGCATTCTGGAAGACATGGATTCAGATCGTGAATGCTAGAATGTGATCTTGGACTAACCAGTGTCACTTTTCTCAGTTGTACAATCGAGAGGTTAAACTGTATGATCCTTTAGGGCCCTCCAAGCTCTCCATTCAGTGATTGCTGTGTTCCCTCACCAGACTTACCCAGCTACAAGAGAAGGGGTTGCTGGGACAGAACAGGTACCAACACCTGGGAGTGCTGCCTGCAGTGCATGATTTAGACTCTAGGGGGCCCCTTTTGCACAAGTCAGGTATGCCAGAAGCAATATAGTGTCCCTGCTGGGACATCCCTGGGAAGCCACAGGGCACTAACTCTGCTTAGAACAGAAGATTGAGATCAGTGAGGATGGTGAGTTCTACCGTACCAGGGCTGGGGGACCAAGGAGCAGGTGCTTTTTCCCAAGGAAGAGCTCTGGAATGGAGTCTCCAAATGCTCCCGCTCTCATCCGCATCACTTCCTCTCATGAGCCTCTTTTGTCTCATGAGGCATCTGAGCCCATAATCTTTAGGTCATTCCAGCAGACAGAATATGATGCCAAAAGGTGTCCTGCCAGTCACCTCAGCCAGAGGGCAGGAAGCCACCATGACTCTTGAAATGTCCCACATTCTCAGTCCAGGCAGTAAGGTCAGATGCATCCCTAGCTCAGGAGTGTCTGCAGAAGCTAAGGAGAGGAACCAGATGGGATTTGGCTAGAAGACTGCGTGGCTCCGAGGGCTGCAGAGGACACCCAACTTGCATGTTTGGGTCTTTGAGGGGAGGATTCAGAGTGGACAGGACATGCTAATACCAATTTTTCTACTGAACGCTGTGCATGGCTATGAACATGGGATGCGTGCGAGCCTACATGCACATCTGCATGCATGCATGCATTTCTCAACAGCCAGCCAGTCTCTTGTGGATGTAGCCTGGGTGGGCCTGTTGAGCCCAAAGGTTCTGGCCCATCTTGGATGGAGAGCTGGCCCTGGCACCTGGCAGGGCCCTTTGATAACTCCTTTCCTTGTCTTTCAGCCCATGAGGCTCCCAGTCCCCACTGAGTGCTGCCCTGAAGGATGTCCCAGCTCTCCTCCACCCTGAAGCGCTACACAGAATCGGCCCGCTACACAGATCCCCCTTATGCCAAATCAGGCTATGGCACCTACACCCCCTCCTCCTATGGGGCCAACCTGGCCACCTCCTTTCTTGAGAAGGAGAAGCTCAGTTTCAAGCCAAGCCCCCCAACCAGCTTCCTTCCCCGTCCCAGAACCTATGGTCCCTCCTCCATCCTGGACTATGACCGGGGCCGCCCGCTGCTGAGACCCGACTTCATCGGGAGTAGTAAGCGGGCAGAGAGCCAGACCCGGGGCACTGAGCGGCCTTCGGGCAGTGGACTCAGTGGGGGCAGTGGATTTACCTATGGAGTGACCAGCAACTCCCTCAGCTACCTGCCCATGGGTGGTCGCGACCAGGGAATGACCCTGACCCAGAAGAAATCAAACAGCCAATCAGACCTGGCCCGGGATTTCTCCAGCCTCCGGACCTCAGATAGCTTCTGGACTTCAGATAGCTACCGGATAGACTCAGGGAACCTGGGCCGAAGCCCCATGCTGGCCCGCACACGCAAGGAACTCTGTGCCCTGCAGGGCCTCTACCAGGCAGCCAGTCGCCCTGAGTACCTGGATGACTACCTGGAGAACTATGGTCACAAGGGCAGCACACCACAGGTGCTCATGCAGGCCTCTCCCTCTCGAGTCCCTGAAGTCCTCAGTCCCACCTACCGACCCAGTGGCCGCTACACACTGTGGGAGAAGGGCAAGGGCCAGATCCCTGGGCCCAGCTGCTCCAGCTCCCCAGGGCGAGACATTACGGTGAGTTTACCCTTGGGGACCTAGTAATGGGCTGGGGAGGCAGCCACCAATGCAAAAGAGCCAGGTTGGAGACAGGGCTCCTTATGATTGATAGTAGCCCCTGTGGAGAGAAGAGAAACAAGTCATCTCTGCATGTCTGATACCCTTCCACTCTCCCAAAGACCTGAGAAACTGAGTGTGGTCCAGCAGTGCTCTTGGAATGCTCAGCTATCCCCATGCTCACCGTTATTCTCACCTTGTCCTTTTCTACCCAACATGTCCGGGTCCCCTGTAGGCCTTGCCCCATCTTGGACCGGATGCTGGGGCCCCCAGACCACCAGTGCTCCCTATGACAAGTGGAGCCTCCCTTCTTTGGCTGCATCTCTCCTGTTAGACTTGACATTTGGGCATAAGACATCAGGAGAAGAGGGACCCTCCTCTGGCTGACACTGGCAGGCTCGAGCCCAGCTCTAGATATAGGACTTCTGTGTCTCTGGAGGAAATAATGGAGAAATTGTCTAGGGTTTGAAATGATCTAATACCTCTGTATTCTTTCCCTCTTGGGATGGAAGAGCCTCTCCTGGACTCTGGCCAAGGGCTGGCACAGCCTTCCTCACAACTAATCCTTGATCAAACCTCTCCTGGGGCACTGAGACATTCTGCTTTCTCTGTAGTTATTAGTGTGCCTATTAGGTGACAAGCTCTCAAGGTTGAAAAAGATCCTACCTCCAGATCCCTCACCAGGTGCCTTGCCGCGGGGAACTCAGCTGATTGCATGGGTGTATAAGTGAATGGAGAGAGCGTGAAGGATGCATGGATGGATAGATGGACTGACAGATGGACAAACAGGTAGATGGGCAGGTGAACAAGCAAGCATATGGGTAGGAAGGAATGGGTGCTGTGCGTTCTCCATTACTTTATGCACCACCCCCTGCTAGGACATGTGCCTTTTGTAAACAACAGCTGGGCCACATTGAGAAATGCTGCTTAGATCACTTCTCCAGGCCAGTGGAGCAAGGGTTTGGGATGAGGGTTGGGGCATTGGCCAACAGACCATGAAATGCGTCATAGCTAAAGATCTTGAGAGGACACTGATCACATTTCTTAGAGAGCCTTGGCCTTGCTGGGCTGTCTGGGAAGTGACCTGGGAGATACGAAAGCTGTGTCTCCCAGGACATTCAGACCCTGACAAGGCAGGGCTGGCTACACTGGCTCTCCAGTGTAAACAGCAATGGGAGATGCTGTCATAACAAAGCTGGTCTGGGACAGAAATTACATCCTCAGAGGACGGTGTGCCATGGCTGGGGTAGAGTAGGATCCCCTTGGACAACATCATGCCAGCAGAAAGTGGTCTCAGTGAAAGGCTTGGGTCCTCGGAGCTGCTCAAGGGCTGCACGTTTTTGCAGTGCTTTTCCAAGTGGAGTCTGCAGACTGCACACCTTGTAATGACACGCAGGGCCTAACGGTTCACCGAGGCCCCCAGACTCAAATTCTCTCAGGATAGTGCATGGGAATATCTTTGTCACCAGCCCTCCAGCTGGTCTCTAAGCACACAACAGCATTAAAAGCCACAACATCATAGACTGAACTAAAGACTGCACCATCTCTTTGCTCCATATGAAAGAGCAAGATCTCTTTACTGGGAGTCAGACTCCACTGGGGACCTGCCTTCTTCCTCACTGCACACATCAACCCTCCCAAGAGCCTGCTGCCCTCCACTTCTTCCCGAGGCTCCCAGAGCCAGGGTGAGGGGAGTTTTGAGAGAGATCCTCAGAGTAGCACACTGCCCTGGGACAAACTCAGCCACCTAGCATCCTCACTTCCCACCCAGAAGCAACTCACAACACTGAAGGGGCTGGGAATGTGCCAGAGCAGAGCTGGGGTTTCATTCTGAGCCCATGCCAGGGAACAGGGGCTTCTGCCAACCAAGAAGGATTTGTGAGAGTCTTTATTTAATCCACTCCCCCCACACCTTGTGCTCGCTTCAGGGGCTGGCTGCATACTGTGAAAGTGAAAACAACAATGTTCATGGGGTCCAGACCACTTCTAAAAGTAGTTCCACTTTCTTGTCTGATTTCCATTGGAGCATCTTAGCTTTTCATTCCTTCCTTCCTTCCTTCCTTCCTTCCTTCCTTCCTTCCTTCATTCATTCATGTATGGAACTCAGCTTACTTGCATTGTGCTCAGTGCCTGGTGCTAAGTACTCAGCACCTAGCCTACACCAGTAGGTCTCTTAACTTCTGAACCTGTTTCCTCCTCTGTAAAACGAGAGTGCTCATAGTTCCCACTTGGTAGATTATTGTGAGGCATGGGAAAGTGCTCCATAAATGTTAGCCCTTGCACTCTTCCAGGTACTGTGGGAGACAAGAGATGTGTGTGACCCTGGATTGTGCCCTTGGCACATTCACAATTTCGTGGGAAAATAAATTCAATAAGCACAACAGGAGACAGCTCAGGTTTAAGTGTTATAAGTGGTGGAAAAGAAAGAGGTCATCTGAGGCTGAGGCAGGCTGACCATGATCTCTGGAAGGTACAGTTTGCTTCTTTAACCTTGGACACCAATCAGCTAAGCTGCATTTCCTCATCCATAAAAGGAAGTGATCACACCTGCCCTGCCCACCTCATGTGTATGCCTTGAGCCTCAGAGAAAATAGTGAATGTGGAGAAATCAAAATGAAAAAACATTACAGAAGAGTGTGTTTAAACTTAAAAAGGGAGGGCTGGGGGCCCAGGACAGTAGTACAGCACTTGCCAGCCTTTGTGAGGCCCTGAGTTCAATGCCCAGTGCTGAAAAAATAAATAAACATGAAAGGAAAGGAAATGATAAAAAGGGCATTGACTGGAGGTGGGGGTGAGGGTCACAGGGTATCCTGTGGGAGGAAGAAAAACTGAGAAAGGGTCTCTCTCTCCCTCCTTCTCTCTCTCCCTCCTTCCCTCCCTCCTCTCTCTCTCTCTCTCTCTCTCTTCCATCCAGGATCTTGGTAAATTTCACAGGCAGGACACAAATTTGTGATTTCCCTTCCCCACTCTGCTGGGATTACAGGCATGTACTACCACACCAGCAGGTTGTCTCAAGGAGGCTAACTTGAACTATACTCAGGTTTCATAAAGAAAGGAAGGTCACATGAAGGTCCCAAGCAGGAGTAGGAGTTCCAACCAGACTCCTTGCCCCTCACTAACAGTGACAGCCAATGTGAACTTGGAATATCAGGCTCCGCTGAGCACAGGTAAAGAACTGACAGAGAGGGATGTGAATTCTGAGTAACCCCTCCCCACGCTTGTGTAGGCACCAACAAAATGCCAGTCTGTTAGGGTACAGCTCAGCCCCAGGATGATAAAGGTCTGTCCTGAAGCTCCATTATCTGCTACAAATGCAGACAGATGAGCCAGGAAGGACAGTGATGGGGAACAGGGTGCCACTACCCCCACTGGGGACGCCAAGCCAGCCCAGGTGGCTCAGCCCCGCAGAGAGCACCAGGCTGCTGAGTCCCAACCCCATCACCTCCCCCTCCACCCTACCTCTCCTGTTCCCAGGCCTATGGAAGGACAAGCTGTTCCCACTGAGCCCTGCCAGGGCTGCGCTTTAACCCCTACAATCCTTCCTAATCCTCCTCTGCTCCACCCCTCCAGCTGCTCCCTGCCAGCCCTGGCACTCTGCCTGCTGGATGAAGCTCTTCACTGGCCTGGCCTCCCCACCCCTCCCCTCCTCACCCCTCCCCAGTAAGAGCCAGGGGTTGGCCTAGCGCCCTCCCCAACAGTCAGCAGGCTGGGCACCTGCTCCTCACACGGCACCAGGGACTGAGGCTTGGTTCAGCCTATTCTCTCGTACCCAGTTTCTTCCACACCTTGCCTTCTGCTCCAGGACCTGTTTCTAAGGAGCGATGGAACCTGAGTACCTGGGTCCTATTTGCCACTGGCACTGCTGACTCATCTTTCAAAGCCCTGGGTTCCAGCTGTTCAGTAACAGGGAGATTATATAAGCTGAAGTCATGTGATTTTACTGTTGCGTGGAACTTTGGACTTGAATGCTGCCCTGCAGCGAGCAGAGGTTCTCCAGAGAGAACAAGTTGAGAATGGCAGGGGCTAAGAGATCCTGGGTGACAAGTTGACCTTCTCCTGTCCCTAGCCTGCTCACTCTGTTGTTTCAGCCGTGCTGTACTGCATCTCTGCTGTCCTGTTTGTGTAGCTTAGCAGCCTGAGATCCTAGGACCTGTCCTCACTTGCTCCCACCCCAAGCTCACATAGCCACCCTGAGGGGGTCGAATTTCCTGGGAGCAACACAAGGTCACTCAGGGGAGACGCTGAGGGGAAGAACTCCCATGGCAGGATCAGCACTGGCCTTGAAAGCAATGGCAGCTGGTCTGTGGTTTGTGATTAGAATCAGCAAGATGCAGATGTCCCCATCGCGTGAAGATCTGCTGTGGGCCATGACCTAGTGGCCTTGGAGTTGCCTTACTCAGGCTCAATTTCTCAACTGGTGCCTGGCACCATCCATCCTCCCTGCCTTCTCCACTCCCACTCCAGGGCGTCTTCATGAGTTAATGTGGTGCTGGGGTGGCGCTCAGCAGTACAGAAGTTAATCCAAGCCTGGTAAAATGTTCCCTGCCCCTGGGGGAGCCACTCCACTCACCGTTGGTTTCAGAAATGAACATTGTCTCCAGATCTGCACATGTGGCTCTATGTCCTCACTCACCTCAATGAATACATAAAACTGGCACCCTAGACAGCGATAGAGGCAAGAGAAGGAAGTGTGTGGTTTCTGGAATCCAGCTGGTTCAGGCCAGGCTCCCTGGGGCTTGAAGGAATACAGAGCATTTGGCCTCTAGAGGTCCAAGTCATACAGGGAAGCAGAGCTTCCCACAGCAGGTGGAGAGGTTGGACTGACCCTCCTCTTGAAAGGCACATCTAGGGGCTGAAAGCCCACCCCCTAACAAGGACTCAGATCCCCTACCCTTTCATGGATCAGACCACCAGTCTGTCTATTAGCACTGGCCTGAAATACCTGCCTGAGCCTAAGCTTG